TTGTAAGGGAATGGTGAAAAGAATATCTCCTATACACAAAACCGTAGACACAAAGCTTTTTGGAGTGATTCTATGCACAAGAACAGCAGATTACATTGAGTCTGATTCCCCCCTCACTCCTCCACCTTCGGACCCCCAATTCTGTGATGATTAATGTCACAAGGAATGCTCTAACAATCCCTTTCACCTACCAGTTCAACATCATATTAAAGATCTAAAACATTCCTTATTCTGATTCCCCTATTGTATTTAATAGGAAGCTCAAGCCCCGAGAGGTTCATTGACTTGTCCATTCCACTCCCAAAATTTAGTTTACATATTCTTTGTTTTCAGTGAAATAAATAGATTCTCTGCGCATTTCTGAAAACACTATTATTATACCTTACTTGTGGGAGAATGTTGTTTGGTTTTCTTCTTATTCCCATGTCTCCTGAAATAGTTTCAGATGAGTAGACCTACAGTGCGCCCCTCTGTGGCAGGAGGACAGTGTAACTCTTCCATGGTCTGCATTTGCAGAGAGCTGGCTTTGAAAAGACCTTTGCCGCAGTTTAGCGGCCGCAAAGCTGCTGGCCAGGAAGAGAAGTCAGAGATCCAAAGAGTAAACAAAGGTAGGGAAAAAAACTATAATTTTTATGCACTGATCATTTGTAGGAAAACTTTTGGAATAATTTCACTACTTTGTCTCCATTCTTAAACCCTTAGCTTCTAAGTGTCAGTTGGGCGCAGATACAATGAAGCAGGCCTGGCCTTGGGTACCTAGCAGGGCCCCCCCCCTCACCCTGACTGGTGGAGTATTTCATCAGGTAGGGCTTACCCAAGGCCTGAGAAGCTCCCACAGAGTTTCCGTTTTTAGCATTCATCTTCTCTTACATATGCCCCACTGTCCAGCTTGGCTGGACTTTCCCGTCTCTTTCACACCTCGCTCTTGTGTTCCATCTCCCTCATCGTGGAGTGCATTTCTCCTGCTTTTCCGCCTTGTGAGATGCAATAATCTTCTTGTGCTTTCTTCTGACCTCTCCAGGCTGAGTTGGTTATTCCTTCCTCTGACTTCTGAAGTTTGACTCACCCATTTATATTCTTAATTCTGTTGGGTGTGGTGACATTGTCATCTGGTGTTGCCAGAAGTTCTTATCTTTAAAGAGTTTTTATTTATTTTTGGGACCTAGTGTTAGATGACCTGACATGCAGCAACGACAAGTTCTTTTATACTCTATGTTCAAACCTTCTGGTGAGTTTTGGTGTGGTCTTACTAAAGAAACAAGGCGCTTCTGCAGTTGGCCTTAAAGATTCTTCTCTGGTTTCTGTCACTAAAGGAAAGGAAATGCAAAGCAGAGTTGTGTGCATGTAGAGATGTTGGAGGTGAGCCGAAGGCAAGCCGGCTCTTTGAAATGGTGTTCCCCACCTGCGGTCACCGCTCACCCTCTCAGTGTGCTGGTTTTAAAGGGGGATGGCTGGCATGTATGTTTAGAAACAATAGACCCTCTTACCAACGGCTCCCCGAGACCTGGAGACTGTTATGGTTCACAAATTCAGAAGCGATGGCACTAGCCAGATAAGACAGCAGGCAGGCAGGCTGCTGCCTATTTGATGTGCCTGAAAGGGTATTGCTTTCAACTGAGCTGCCATTCATTACAGACACTTGTTCTTGGAATACCAATCAGGTGCTTTCTATAGGAAATATATATTGCTATCAGTTTCAGCTGCCTTTTCAACTCCTCAGTGCATCTCTAATCATTATTAAATGGCAATCTTATTCCTTTTCCAATCAAATGTAATTGGAAATACATCTTTAAAAGTGCACAATGTAAAGGAATTATTTTTGTGAGGTATGTAATAAGGTATCATTTATTAGAACCTCACCAAATGATCACCTTTTGGCCTAAATTTCATCCTTGCACTACCTATAAAATTGATAAACAGATACTGGGGCGTGAATAACCTCCTTAAGAGGACAGACTACTAATGAAATAGTTGAGTAACACCAATTTGGAAAAAATACCAATTAAGAGGTTTTTATTTAGTAAAATAGGTACAATTAGATGCTTTTCAATATATCGTTAGAATAGTTCGGCACTTTGTCTTGTAGGGAATAATAGCAATGAATTTGCTTTTAAAATATTCTATATTTCCACACTGTTAGCCCAGGTTGCTAAGGTTTTGCTATATTTAGTCATTTTTAAGGGGAATGTTTTCAGCAAAGTTTTCTTTTTTTGCTTAGACTGTAGACTATTCTCCTAAGTGGAAAATGGCTGCTGAGTGTGTGGAAAGAGCACAAAAAACATCTGCAGAAGACACTATTTATAGTCATTGGGAATTTTCCACCCGTGGAAAATTCTCAAGTTAGGCTTAGGAAGGCAATCCTGCTTAGCAAATTGCTAATTGGATAAAGCCAAAGCCTATTGTCAAGGCTGGAATCTGGACGGCACTTGTTTGTGGTTCCCACATTCCCTTAGCAGCAATACACCTCCAGTGTCCCAGGTAATGTTCCCCACAGGTTCTTGAGCTTCCAGCAGGACCCCTGCACTGGATGCGCCCCCCCAAGTAGTGCTCTCATTAAGCTTCATCGGCTTTAGGGGGTCTGTTCTTGCTGGTCCATCCACATAAAAGGTACCACGTCTCTGATTAGATGTGATTATGGGAGGTTTATATGCCTTTGATACATCATACATTAGCTAAGGACTCTAATGTCTTAGATTTTTCCTATACTACAAGGCAATTAGTAGGAAAAGTTACCACCTCAATCCATTGAGAGTTTGTGTGAGGTGATTTCAGGTGAGTGGGTGATAGACTTAGAATTTGGGGTGTCTTGTCTATTGGTTTGTGTGTCTCTATTCCCTGGTCTCTCTGATGCACCTGGGACTCTAGTTCCAGTTTGAATTCCTTGGCTTCCGAAATGGTGTAATTTCAGTTTTATGGTCCAGCAGAAGCTTCACCATTGCTTAAACAGTTTTTTCCTCTTTGCAGCTAGAACTGTTTCCCAAAGCCATATGGTACCACCAAGCCTCTGAAAGGAATACGAAGTTTTCATGATGTAAAAGGAGTAACTTATTAAAGAGAACCCTAGTGGGGCTGTGGCAATGAGCTGAAGATTTCTCTAGAGTTCTCTTCCCTGTCTGGTGACAACAGGAAACAGTTTTCTAAGCAAGGAGATTTGAAACATCCAGTGGAAGTATGCTATTAAGTCATAGAATTTTTATTTCTCTCTACCTAGCTCAATCGGCAGTGGCAATAGTTTTTGTTTATTGGTTTATTTCTTTCAGTGAAATGAAACCTGCCTCTCAAACCATCCTCCGGGGCTAGACTCCCTGTTTTTGGTTTCCGTGGGGGGGCTCCAAGCTTTAACACAATTCTCAAACTTATTTAGGAAGCGGAATAACTGGAAATTATGGCCCTTCCCCCCCCCCCCAATTTGAAGAAATGCTGGCTTATTGAGCTAAAAATAACAAATTATAAGTCTGCAAGAGTCAAATAGAATCTTAGCATATACTCTGGCATACACTTTTGGTAGCAATAGCAGAGTTTAAGAAAAATTGAGAATATAAAAGATTGTGCCTGAGAAACTCCTATTTATTGTTCTTTAAATTTCTCTGTGAGTCTTGAAAAAGATTGCCCATTTTTCACTTTTACTGGTGGAATACCTAAGATGAGTTTTTGAAACATCAATATTCCATTGGGGCATAATTTGACAGTAACTGGTTTAAAACTTATTACCTCTATAGTGTTCTAGGAGTAGTTATAATAAAATAATAATATGTGGTTATATCCTTGAATGTAGTATTCAAAGAGTTTCCGCTGCTGATTAGCTGAGAGTTGAAGCACAGGGAAATCTGATGACCGAGTCCTTATATTTGATTCCATTCCTGGCATAAGGGAGATGTGATTGACATTTAGACCCAAGACTCTCACTCCGGAGTCTCACCCAGTGAGCGAGAGCCAGCCTGTCAGTGTTGCGGGTATTGGGCTTGCTCCGTGCTGAGAGGACAGCATCACTGCTAATTGAAACAGAGAAGATGATTACCACAGCTGTAGCTTCAGAAGCAATACATACTGACACTGGAGGGGAAAGGGCTATTTATTTTTAAAAGTTCACCATCAAACCACTGGACAGGATAAACAACTCACGGAGAAAATCAACACTTATTACAATCAAAGAGGCATCCACTTTAACTTGCTGATTTCTCTAGGCACTCTCAATGTGATGCTGGACTAAACTCTCTCAAGTGTCTTCTGCTGGATAAGCAATCGTGATTTGGGAAAAAAAAATCCATCTTTTTTTTTTTCCTGACACCTCTTTCCATGGTTTTCTAAATTATATTTAAGCATAATATAGTGTAGTTGATGCTTGCAAGCACCCAATTTCGCATTAATTTCTCTGGATGGAAATATGAGCCAAATGTTTGTGTTAGTAATAACAGCATGATGCAATTCGATCATTGCTGAGCACACTGATAATATTTTCATCTCAAAGAGGGAGTTCTGAGAGTTTGTATTCATTTCTGAAGCATCAGCAGCTTTCGGTGCAGAGGCCACACAAGTTTTCTAATCTTATTTCACTCAATTTCTCTACTGGTCTGACTCTTATTAGAGGCTAAAATAGAATTGTGATTCTTCTATGCATTGATTATGCTAAAGTATTTCTTCTTTTTTTCCTAGCGCAGCAGCAACTGCAAGTAAATTAACTTTTATAAAGTTGTAGCAGACCAGCATTAGTGTTCTTTGAGGAGGCTGTTATACTAGTTTTTCAAATAGTTGAGATTTTAAAAATATATTCAACCTCACTTCATAAATACATTTGCACGAGGGTTCAGAAATCCAGTGGAGAAGTGCACATTTCCAGGTGCTCTCAATATGCATGTAGACAGCTTTGAAGCTGGGAGCCAGCAAGAGGCATGAAAACAAAATGAGTTTAAAAAAAAAAGTTGCACATAGGGTAATTTTAATCCATTCCATTTTTAAATACCACAATAAATTTAATTTTCACAATAAATTAAATAGCCATATTCAGTTTACAAAATAGAATTACTTAGTGTGAAACCAGTATTTACAATTAAGTACATTATGTACATGACATTTCTCTTTGTTGACATAAAACATGGAAGTAAAAGGACTTGACTTTCCAATGTTTGACCTGCTACAAGTGACACAGTGGTCCAGACGAAAAACAATAGTGCAAAATCACCACAGGGACTTTGGAATAATGTCAATTTTATGAGATAAGACATTCTTTTAAATCATAAGAAAAATAATATTTTCTGTTTTCATGGCACCAATTCAGCATCTGAATTAGACAGCCAGCTTTCCCTTCGAAAAGAATGCATAACTGAATCCTCTACCTCCTGCAGCTTCACAGCCATTGGTACATTTTACACATTAATCTTTTGGCTTAAATTAACGAAAATGGCAGGTGACAACTTCTGACTCAAAGGAAGACTAACTCTTTGAGAATAGCTGAAGTCACTTTCCCCCAATACCACCACCTCTTCTTTTAGTAACGAGTTTAAAAGATGCAACTATGCAGACAGCAAATTATTTTTGTAAATTTTCAGTAGAAAAAGAGCTGTTCCTATATTTGGTCACATACTGCCTATGTACAAGTAGAGATGGAAACATGACTTGGGTAGTTGTGGCTAGGAAAAGTGCATATCTTAATCTAGAGGAGACATTGTGTGTCTTCAGGCACAACACATGGTGTTGTATGACATTATTTTAGGGCCAGTTCAGTGTCCTCCCAGTGATCTGGTAAAACTTTTGATTAAAAGGATGAAAGAATTTGCGCAATTTGGTAATGACAGAGGGGTCCACCTCTGGATGAATGCGCCCCTTGCTGCCAGCCAGGCACTTATTAAAGATAATGTTAAATCGCAAGCAGTAAAACCCTCTGGTAGCATTGAAATACAAATTGTATTGACTTATTCTTGGGGGAAGATTTAGGAACTTCTCCACGAGCTGAAGTTCTGGCAGAGGTTCTGTGATGAGGCGATCTCCGTCGACAATGTGAAATTGCTCGATTGGAAAGTATTTCAGCCACCTTTCCAAGTGTTTGGTGTAGATGCTGGTTCTCACTGCCTTGTATTTTGTGTTCACTTCGCAGGTATTAGAGTCTATTGCCAGCTTCTCAAACTTGTAATAAGTTTTATTCTTCCTCTCCTTCCCCTCTAGCACCTGAGTGTAATCAGAAATAGCTCTTGTGGTTGGCTCCCTGACAATTATCAGCAACTTGATAGATGAGTTCATTTTGTAAATCCTTTCTGGAACCTCCTCCGTGATAAAATATGCCGGGCTCTTTTCAATTGTGATTTGCTGAGGGTAGGAAAAAGGCATCTTCTTCCTATACCACTCAATGCCCTTGGCATAATTCTCATCATTGTCAAAAAAGTGGATTTCTTGAGAGGCTTTAACCACTGCTGGGTGGAGGTTCAGCATCTCAAGCAGGGCCCTTGTACCTCCTTTCCTCACCCCAATGATAATGGCCTTGGGGAGTTGCTGGACCAGGTCATGAAGGCGAACCTGCTCCTTGGAAGCGTTGCCCTTCCGGAACTCATGCAATAGGCCACGTTTAAACTGCAGGGCACGCAGAGGGAATTCAGCCTGCCCACGGGCTCCCAGTCGGCCTTCAATGGGGCAAATGGGTTGTAGCCTGCAAGCAACAGAGAGAAATTTTAAGGAGCTCATTGCACCTAACTTCTCATTTTTCTGGTTTCCCCAGTCAGAGTAAGACTTTAAATGCATAAATAAAATCACAGTTTCCCAACCTGATACAATCCATAATGAACATATGTTTGAGAAATTTTACTTTAAGCAGCACTATATTAAATGGACCACACATAATTGATGGGATTTTTTTATTAGTGCTCCTTAAAATTTTTATTCACCAAGCACTTAATTGACTACAGCATGTACTTATGTTCACACTGTACAGGACAGACAAGTGACACCAGCCACACTAATAGCCTTTTAATAGCTCACCAGTTAATATAATTTAGAGAACATAAAAGGTAGGTGATTATAATCTTTAGCTGGGAGACTGAAGGGCAGGTAGGAGGCCAGTCTTTTGGGTTTTGTGTAGTACTACTTCCTTACAGCTCAGCAGCACTCACATAGCTCTTAAAAATTTTTGAGATATTGTACAATCTGAAAAGGGTTCCCAGTCTCTGCCCTTAGCTATTTGCATCATCATCAACCTGGAAAATTCCAAAATTGGAACTTGCTGAGCTTTTCATTCTGTGAGAATTTCTGCCGTTGGCCTTGGGGATAGCTGAGAGTACTATATTTCTTCTGCCTTTCTTTTTCTTTCTTTTTTTTTTTCCTGCCTCTGTTTTTCTATCTAAAGAGGTCAGGATTATGTTTTTATTTGTCTGAATGTAGGAACAACCCAATACCATCAGCAAGTGCTGTATATCACTTACCACAGCTGGGACGGGGATCAACAAGACCTTGGCAGGGCCAGAAGCCTCAGGTCCTCATTGCCAAGTCCATTTAAATCAGGGACTCAAGCTCATGAAGGAAGGGATGCAATAGATGGAGCCAAAAAGGAGGGTTTCCATGTCAACCTTGCCTTAAATAATGAACAACTACCACTGCTTTTCTCAGAGAAAAAAGGTGTGGTAATAATCACAATGATACTGGACTGGAGTAGCTGTTTAACTCGGCAAAACTAGTATGCAATATATTGTACTTAGGATAGTACTAAATATAGAGGAAACTCTATACTTAGAGTTTCCTTTTGGGTATAGTCTAGAACTGAACTGAAATTCACTATAATTTCCCTAAGTTTACCTGAGAAGGCATTTTAGCCACTTTAGTAGAGGGTAGACTATTGGACAAAATGGCTATTAAACCAAGTATTTCAACTTGGTTTATCCTAGTTACCCTAGCTCCTAGTTACCCTAAAAATTTTGAGTCTATGTCCCCCTTTTTGTGGCAGTGAGCCTCTCTTTTGCTTTTCCCCAAGACATTCTATTGTACCTTTCTTATCTTCTGTAATGTTTATAATTAATGGGAGAACAGAAAGACCTCAAGGTCATGCAAAGGCATTCTGCAGAACTGAGGAGCAGGGACTTGGCCTGTGCTCTGTTTAAACTGCTGTCTATCCTAATGTGTAAGGAAAAATATATAAACATATTTTACTTTTTCGTGGTGCTTGTTTTTCATGATTTTAAAAGCATCTCATGCTCTTTGTGGAAAACATGAAAATATAGAATACTATAAAAAAGTGTTTACCACAGTTAATATTTAAAGAAATGTAACTTTTGTTTTGATAAATGCGTTAATAAGATTAATGCTGGAGTGCTAAACAAAAGATTTAAAAGTAGCAACACAAGCATAGTCGAAGATGCTTTTAGATGTGACATTGTGATAGCACAAATTCATTTTTTAGCTCTTCTTGGTTGAGAATTAAGCTGTAGTTTCTATCCATATCCATTGCATGTAATGGATGACTTCTCTGCTACACATCTAGAATGCTGCTAGTGCCTGTCGTCCTTGGAAAAATCGAGAAAGTAGTCCATCTAATGCTTTCTATAGGGCTTAATTCTCTCAAGCAACCCTGGTCGACATGGGCTGAGACAGAGAGTCTCCCCTGTTTGAGCTGGAAAGGAATTTCCTTCCTTCTGGAAAGGGCCATTTTCCTCCTTCTTGTCCTTCCTTTTTCTACCTGCTATCTTGGGAGCTCATAGCCAGAAGAACAATTGCTTTTTAGACTCCCTAACTCAGGATGGGAGAAAACATCATCTCATTTTGATTTTTTTAAAGAGTGCATTTTGAGCATGGGCTCAGATTAAACAATATGGACTCTTAGGATTGGAAGGGGCAGTAGAAGTAACTGAGCTCGGACTCTTCAGATCCTAAGTCAGCGTGTTTCCATTGCAGATTCAATCTGCTCAAGCTCTCAGTTGAGAACTTTTGAAAAAGTCCAGAAAATAATCTAATTTGAGACTATAGACCAGGTGAAAAATGAAAAGAATCAGCTAAATAATGAATGCATTAATGACCATTAGATCAATTACTCAATAAAAAGCAAATGATTGGAAGCAAACTAAAGGCATTGGGAAAAACTTGTAAAAGTTCTTTATAAACAGGACAGTGGTACCACCTCAAGGCTTCTCACTAATAACTAAACACTACTTTTAGGGAACTACCTGAAGTCAGTGATAAATTCTGGATTATACCATTTCCCATAGTTAGCAACTCGTGAGTGCAAAGTTTGCTCAGGAACTTTGAACTAAAAAAAGTCAAAATGGCTTTTTTATCAGTCAAAACTGACACTGGCTGAAGGAAAATAAAGACCACTGCTATATTATTTGTTAAGTATCTGAGAGATAAGATTTACAGATTAGAAAAGAAAAACTACAAGAAAGACATTTTTATTTTAAAATGTGGCTGCATCTTCATGGAAAATGGGAAATGAATGCATAAGAACATACTCCAGTATTTACAGTGCAATAAGGAATTTTAAAGAGCAAAGAAGGAAGGTTCATGTTTTAGAGATTCAAATTCTGTCCTTCACAATCATACTGGATATAGGGCAGGCCAGAGGTATTCAACATGAAGCCAGAGGATAGTTACTGCTGGGAATTCTGTAGGTCTAGCACCCTTCTCAACTGTTTGCTGGTTTAGAGCCAACCCCTGGCTCTGTAAATATCCTCTCCATGGATTTTCCATTGGTTTCTGGGCAATTATTGGGAGTGACAGCCACCTTGTGTTGTATGTTCAGCTCCTGGAAACCAGCACTAGTTAACACAGTGACAGCACCCTAAGCCTGCAACCATCTTTCCAGGGCAGTAGATCCCAAACTTGATGAGCTTCTTTATAGGCTCAAATATAATTGTAACTCTCCTGGTAGACCATTAATTGTTCACTCATAAATTTTATAATGTAGATAACTAAATATGTCATTGGTATTTGACATGGACAGAGTTTTAACAACCAGATGTACACATACCACAGTGAGCTCTAGAAAAGTGGCATTTCTACTGTGTATGGCTTTATCCCTTCTCTGAAAATGAATGTCAATGCACACAGAACACAAATGGATTGGTTTGAGTGACTTCTTTCTTTCTTTTAAAGGCTCAATAAATCAAAATAAATACTGCAGAAAAGCATGTTTCTTGGGAATTTTGAAGGAGGAAAACAAGAAATAGATTTAAAATTATACCCTAAGGAAGTTTCAATTAAGAAACACTGCCCAAGATTCAAATGAAGGACAGAATCCTAGAAGCAGCAAGAGATAAGGAAACAGTTACCTACAAAGGAGTTCACATCAGACTGTCAGCTGATTTCTCAAAAGAAACCTTGCTGGCAAGAAGGGACTGGAAAGAGGTATTCCAAGTCATAAAAGTCAAGGATCTACATCCAAGATTGGTCTATCCATCAAAGCTATCATTTAGAATGAAAGAGCAGATAAAGTACTTCTCAGATAAGGTCAAGTTAAAGGAGTTCATCATCACCAAGCTCTTATTATATGAAATGTTAAAGGGATTTATCTAAGAAAAAGAAGATAAAAGATATGAATAGTGAAATGACAGCAAACGCACAGTCATTAACAACCATACCTAAAACAAAAACAAAAGCAAACTAAGCAAACAACTAGAACAGGAACAGAAACACAGAAATGATCACATGGAGGGTTAGCAACAGGGCAATGGGAGGGGGGAGAGGGGGAAAAGGTACAGAGAATAAGTAGTATAGATGATAGGCAGAAAATAGAAAGGAGGAGAGGGTAAGAATAGTATAGGAAATGTAGAAGCCAAAGAATTTATATGTATGACCCATGGACATGAACTAAAGGGGGGAAATGTGGGTGGGAGAGGGTACGCAGGGTGGAGGGGAGTGAAGGGGAGAAAATGGGACAACTGTAATAATATAATCAATAAATATATTTTTTTAAAAGAAACACTTAAAGTCACATGAGCACAAGTATGTGTTAATTACCTACCTATCCAAGCTCCCAACTCTGGCAACTAGATACAGGAGACTCCCAACAGCAAGGCTTCCCAGCACCAGGAGCTTCTGTCTCAGCCACGCCTGCTGTTTGAATAGCATGGCCCTCCATCAACCTTCAGGACTTCTGCAGCCTGAGAGACAGGATAGAAGGGGACTCATCATCAGTCATCTCTTAAAGGCTCTTTCAATTTTTACAAAGTTCAGTGGGGGGGGGTATACAGGTGATTAAGTGATGTCACTCGAAGAACAGACCTCATACCAACCTTGACCATGTTTATGGGGTAATGGGTATTTAGCAAAACTAGGTTTCCTTCTGCTGACCTGTGTTATAAGATCAAATACTAAACCAGGGCAAAGATACTAACTAGACAGAACCTGCTACCAAGGGTACCTAAACCTTTTTTGGTGTCTCTGGGCCACACTGGAAGAAGAAGAGTTGTCTTGGGCCACACATTAAATAAACAAACACTAATGAAAAGTGATGAGCACAAAAAAGATTTTAAGTAAATTTCCAGCTTTGTGTTAGGCCACACGCATTGCCATCCTGGGTCGTGTGCACCCTGTGGGCCACGGGCTGGGCACCCTGTGGCAATTGTCAAAGTAAGTAAAATACATACATTATAACATACATTAAATATGTGGTGTGCATATATATCTATAATTTTTTGTTGTTAATCATTCAAAAAAAAACTGGTAAAACAAGCAACTAAGCAGGTTTACCAGCAAGGCAACCAGTAAACTGAAGTTTCTGCTTTGGAATAACAGGACAAATGTAGAAAGTGAAATATCCCAGTTCAGTAAGTTTTCATTTTGGGTGTAACATTTTACTTATATGTTTTTTGTTTTGTTGTAGTTGTAAGTGAAGGAAGAGGGCAAGATCAAAAGCTGTAACCTCATTGAGGTTATCGGGACAACTATCAGGACCGTGTCTCCAAGTAACTTGAGGTTTCCCTTCACATTCTCTGCCCAGTGCTGAATTGGACTGGCTGATTCTGAGGACATGCTCAGACTAGAGAGACGCCCCTGCTATGTGACGCCTCCTTCAGGTGGGTTTAGTGATAGGGCTCTAGCTCTAACATCGTGATGGAAGCTTCCCTGGAAGCTTCATACTCTCACCTGAAATAAGGCCAGCTGAAAAGTGGAGGTGCTATTATTAAATTGGGAAGGAAAATGCAAGCTTCCCATTCAGGCTTTCTTATTAAAAAAGTAAATCTAACCCCCCCCTTTCCAAGATAAGATTTTACTTTTATTGAAACTCAAACAGTAACCCAAGAAGAGGAACTTCAGCAATGGGTCATGGTTAGCAATTGCTTTGCTGCAGTGATCTCTCCATATTTGCTACGTGAAGATCTTTTCTGTACAAAGGGGTGTACTAGAATTGACGGATTGATTTATTCATTCATTCATCAAGAAATTTCTAGGCACCAATAGCATTTCTGGCTATTGTACTGTGTTTATGGGGGATTCAAAAAAAGATCTTGAAGGACTTTTAGCTCTTCAAAAACTGACAATGTGATCAGGGAAGCATGAAACAATGGGAGGATGCAACCTAATTCATGATAATGTATGAATAAATGTTGGGGAAATACAATGAAGGAAATAGAGACATAGACTCCATGTTTTGGTGTGTGTGTGAGTGTGTGAAATGTATTGCATGGCTTGGTGAGGGGGATATAGAAGGGCACCCCAAAGGGGAGAGATAAAGGTAGAATTCATCCAACACACAGCCCAAAAATATTTATGGAACATGCCCATGTACTAGATTCTGTACTGGGTACGGTGTAACACGGCAATCTGTAGTCTAGTGGAGAACACAGAATTAAACCAATAAGCATAGAATGTGCAAGAATTTACAAACTGTAACAACCATGAAAGTGACGGGAGGCGGTGAGAAAGGAGGAACCCACTTCAGTCCTTCCTGAAGAAGTGGTGCGGACTGACTGACACCTGGAGTGTGAAGAGCTGGGGGCGGAGGTGGGCAAAGTGGGTTGCAGGGAGAGGAACCCCTGTCTACACCAGTACTGAGGAGGAAGATGCTTGGCTAGTTTGAGAAGTGAAGGGAGGCTGGTGTGGCTGCATGTGGGGACTGAGGAGAGAGAGCGAGTACTAAAGGCAATAAGGGTATTCACAGGGTCTGAGTGAGTCTGTGGTTCTGACTTGGCATGGCTTTCCTTGCATGTGGGTGTAATGGGGAAGAGAAGGGAAATGAGAAAGAAGGTTTACTGAGGGCTGCTATGTGGCAAAAATATTGTACAGGTGGTATTTTGGGAAATTCTCAGAAAAAACCCTATGAAGCAGATACATTGTTTCCATTTTATGGATGGGTAAAGTGAAGCTCAGATCATTTTCTCTAACTGATCTGAGCAGGTGATCACACAATTAGCAGGTAATGGAAAGGCGAAGTCATAACTTATGTAGAGTGATTTAGGGCTTCGCTGAAAGAATCTTTCTCCTATTTCCAGGTTGATGCCGAAAGTCATATGCCCTTAGCACAGGGCTCTGGTCCTGTGGAAATACAAATACTGCAGCAAGATGCAGAACAGGGTGGCAGACAGAAAACTGCCCGAGTTCTCCAAACAAATTCTCCACTTAGTAGCTCTGTGGTTTTGAGGTGGCCACTGAGATTTTTCTGGGCCTTTCTTTTTGCATCTATAAAATGGGGGTAATCTCAGATCTCCCTACTCCATACATGAGAATGAAATGAGGTTTCCACAAGCCACCTCACTGTACAAAGGCTTATTAATATGCCAGAATAACATAAGGGATTGTGTGTCATTTATATGTTAGTGTGAATGAATTTAATGTATATTCACAAAGTGTGAGAAAAAAAAGCTGTTATGTGGTTGAAGAGGGCCATATACAAGTGGGAGAGATGGGAAAAGTAAAGGTGAAATGTGCTTGCCCTGTGGTGAAATGTGCAGCCATGCACAGAGGAGCAAGTCAGAGGGAGGTTGGGAAGTCACCTGACCTCTGCTCCCTAAATGTGGTGCTCACATTCTGCTCCTCAGAACTGTGCTGCACGAGGCTTTGTCCAATTCAATCAGCTCATTGGTCCACCTGCCTTTGGCTGCCCTGCATTCCGTAAGGTCTGGGCTGTGTCCCAGTTCCTCTAGAAGTCCTCTGCAGCTGATGCCCCAGCCCGCAGTTCTCTCCCTTCTCCACTGAATTCTTGTTCTTGCAGTCAGAACCACAGTTAGGCCTTCCACTGTTTGTAAGTGTTGGTTTATTGTTACCTGCTACCTTCTTCTGTGTGTGTCATGACATCTCTCAGCAATCGCAAGCCTACTGATGGACTCGGAACACAAGAAAGCAGCTGACCGAAAGGTAGCGAGCCCAGAATCTGTCTGCCATGCTCTGTAGCCTCATGGTTCTCTATGGTGAGCTTGCAGAGCCTTTGGAAAACACACCTGCTACCACCCTTAGAAATTCCAGCTCAGTGAGTGTGCACTAATTGTGCATCTGTATTTTTTACACTGGAGTAAATAATACACAGAGCTTGAAGTGATTTTCTCCTGCCTTTTTCCTTTTCGTCACCATGGTCAGTAAACTTTTAACTTTCCCATCAAAGCATTTAATGCCTTCCTTGATTCTTAACATTTGACTGTGTTTCCCTGTTCATTTCCTATGGCCTATGCAGTCTTATTAATCTTCCTAGGACAAGTTACTTTGTCCCTCATCTTTTTGGGTGTTCACTGGATCAAATGTAGAGTCTTCTTGAAAGCTCAGGACCTTTCTTAGTTCCCAACTTGGGTAGTTAGCCTCTTTCCCTCTTATTACTCATCAGCATCAGCCTCTGCACCCTTGGGGTCATCCTCTTTACTGCTCCCCCTGCCCCTTCACTCTCATCTCCATGCTTCTGTCAGCTTCCTGAGTGGCCTTCAATCTTTCTTACATCTCCTCCTTCAAGGCTCCCAGATTTTATTCATATCTTCCTGGGGAGGGGGATCCTGGTGAATGTAGAATTTTGGGGAAAAAATCCTGATGCACATCCCATTGGTGGGTAGTGATAGGTTAAGCCCATTGCATCGATAACTACAGGCCAAATTGTTATAGCTCGGAACCCCTGGGCTTAGGGATAGCACTTGGGAAGCACTGTAGGGAGTGAGTTAAGCTATTTAGTGAACTAATGGCTGAACTCTGCTCAAGGTTGGCAGGCAGGGAAAATAATTTTAAAACTGACCGAGGAAGTGAAGGTTGCTGAGGAAGTAGCCCAAGATTTTGGAGAATATTCCAACAATGATATCAAGACCTCTACTGCAACATACTTGTCATCTGATAAACAGTTCATTATTAAACCTGTCTGAATATGAGGTCATTATTTTTTGTACTGCCGTTGAGGATCTTTCATTCTCCAAGGCTCTAGTATTCGACCTATAGACTCTTCCTTAGTGAAATGCCCAGTTATCACTATGGAGGTTCTGCTCTGTGGGATAGGCTGCTACTTCCTCTCTGGCTTCTTTATGTCTGAGATACCTGAGGTATGCCCATTGTGGGTTTCTCTCTTTGGGAGACTTAACACTGCCTTCTCTATTTACGGCAGGCCCATTACAGCCCCCAAAGTATCCTCCTGTCCACTGTGACACTGAGCAGAACTACAATTTTTATGTGAGACCTCAACTAATGTGAGTGAGCCGTCCGTGGTGCAAAGGCCAGTGGATTGGGAGTCAAAGACCCTCAGTCTCACCTTGGTTTAGTTTTGAAATGAAAACTTCCTGAATTTTCATTTCTCATCTGTAAAGTGAAGACAACAGTGTTTATCTCACAGGGTAGTTATGACCTAAGCCTTGAGTAAGACGGTGGGAAAGAGCTTTATGAACATTTGGGCACTTTACAAAAACAAACCATAATTAATTACTTTGGGGAGGTTGCTAAATTCATTCTTGAACTGCATAATAAGGAAGAAAAGAGTACAATAAATGCAGTTTTCATTAATAGTATAATTGGATTTTGAACAATATAAGTTCATTTTTAATATAAATAACTTTTAATAGAAACTCCTGTTAAACATTAAAATGCTAACACTATATTTTCTGTTTAAAGCAAGGTAGCTCAATTACCAAAACCAAAATGTTAACACTTATCTTATTAGGCTAAAATCTCTTGGAATTTTTGAGAAAACAAGCTTGTTTAG